TGGCGCAGGCAGTTGAGCACAGCGCTGTGAAGCTGTTTGCAGCCTCTGCAGCGCCAGTTCAATCCCGGCCGGCTGGGGAGGGTCCCACATGGCGCAGCAGACCTCTCCTGTCTTGCCCGCTGCTCCCCTCAGCAGTGTATTTCATCAGTCTGCCTGTTCTGTTCCTGATCTGTCTCTGGTGAATCCTCTCACCCTCCTGTGCATCTGGCCAGTACCCTGGTTCTTGTATAAATAAAATAAATCTTTAAAAAAAAATTTCCTGCAAAGTTGCTGGTGCCTCTGCTGCATTTTGTCTTATGGTGGAATTCTCCTTTTGAATTAAATATGACTAGTAAAAATTTGAGTTTTCATTTGATTTTAGTATGGGTTGGTATCAAATGGGTGCAATAACCATGTGACAAAAATATATGAGAGGTTGAGAGCATGTGTGTGTGTGTGTGTGTGTGTGTGTGTGTGTGTGTATAGACTGGCATTGATGGTTTGGAAAATCTGGCTCCAAACAGCTCAAGAAAGTGAAACAAATTCCTAGTCTCAATTGTACAACCACAGATGCCTCTTGAGTCTCAAGTGGCCAAAAGTGAGAAATTATGGAGGTACTGGAGGACTCTCTCATATCCTTGCTATTCAAAGTGTTGTCCACACACCAGCAGGCTGGTGCTTGTTAGGAATGCAGGGTTCAGTTCTCACCAAGCAGCTGCTGCATCAGAATTTGTGTTTAATAAGATCTCCAGATGATTCACATGCCCAGGAAATACTGAGAGGTGTTGATTTATAAGCCCACGACCAAGTGGTGCCAGCAGAGAGGGTCTGTTTGATTTAGATGCTATACATTGCGGCAGCTTGTCAGTATGGGGTAGACCTCTGAGTTGGGCAGACCTAGGCCTCTATTCTGGTGCCCAAAGGAGAGTCCAGGCTTTTTTGAGCCCTGGCTTCCCCGTGCATGCAATGAAAATAGTAGGACTTAGCATGTGGTGTTACTGTGAGATTAAATAAGAAAATATAAGT